TAGTAATCACGCTCCCTGTACTGGATGGTTGATCCTATTCTAAATTTATTTGGATAAGTTAGTCTAAAACAGTGCAAGGTTGATTTTGATTTGGCTTTTTTGTTAAATAGAAATTTTTGTACTCTCTATTCTATAATTTGTAATTTTGTAAAATCTTACTTTACTCATAAATAAAGTTTGTACAAAGTTACCACACGTAAAAAAAAAAAAAAAAAAAAAAATTGAAAAAATTATATAATAATGATCTGCTACATTAAAAATTACTATTTTTTGTATATTACTATATAATAATATTAAAAAAATAAATAATATTAATACAGTAGTTGAAAAAAAGGAAGTAGTTATCTAAGAAAGATTACTGGCAAATTTTCTAAATCTTTTGGATAAAATATCTGAAAAAATACTTCAATATCAATAAGGAATTTGACCAAAAAATTAGGGTAGCAGGGTCTTAAAGTATTTTACTTACCAATTTTAAGATATTTAGCCACTTATGATTACAAAAAAAAACTTTCTAAAAGTGACTCTAATGCTGACTGCTATTTATAAGCAGAAACAGGTCAAATGAACGCAATAACATATTAATAATAATTAAAATAAAACTTTATTTTAAAATAAAATAACCTAACTTTTCTAGAATATAGTAAAGCATTAGCACAAAGGAGTTCAGCTGATATACTCCACCTATACTAAGAAATAGAGCAAAAATTTTACATAAGACAGGTTTTGTATTATAGGCAAAATAAATTTATTTTACTTCTGTCAAATTATGAATGCTAAGTTTTATGTCAAAATTCTAAAGAACTATATTTTAGAAATTAATGAAATGCTCAGAAATGATTAGTACCTTTAGTAAAATAATGATCTGAAATATACAATAGCTACCAAAAGAAACACAAGTGTGATTAGTTACCTTTGAATGGCTATAACTCATTAACCACAAATGCTAAAAACATGATCTTGTACTTGTTTCAAAGCCCAAATCTTAAAGGATATCCTAGCGAATTTTTTTTTTTTTGAAGTGTGGCAGTTTTGCATGATCTTTATTAAATTTATAAATACTAGGTACATATAATAAAACAGAAAATACAAAAATATCTATAAATTAATTTAAATTAAACTACTTTATTAATACTAACCTTGCACTTTACCAAACTAAACTATAAACAGAAAAGAAAAGATAAGAAAAACCTAACTAAACTAAACTATTGTACAGTTATTAAACGTCCGGAAAGGTGAGCGTGGTTACTGCTGTTCCAAAAATTTGACCAGTGAGAGCCATAGGTAGTAGTCGCTATGAAAGATGTGAGAAAGGATATTCTAGCGAAATCTAGTATCAAGTTAATAATTCCAATTTTGAGTAACTTAGCGATCTACATCAAAATTTATTACATAGTAAAGTTCAAGTATAAAAAATTTTTTAAGCATACTAGCTATTATAAACTGATACTGGATTTCGATTCTCCTTGGTGTGGTGATTCTAATAAGCTAAATTTCATGGGAATCAGACCAGCTGATCAGGAATTATCACGCAGCAAAGATCGGTAAATTATTATATAAAAGGGGGTTAGTTACTTTTTATATAATAATTTGCCAATCTTTGCTGCGTGATAATTCCTGATCAGCTAGTCTGATTCCCATAAAATTTAGCTTGTTAGAATTGCTGCATCGAGGAGAATCAGAATCTAGTGTCAGTTTTATGGTAGCTAGTATGCTTAAAAATATTTTTATACCCAAACTTTACTATGTAATAAATTTTGATGTAGATCGCTAAGTTACTCGAAATTGGAATTATTAACTTGAAACTAGATTTCGCCAGGATATCCTTCAAGATTTGGGCTTTAAAACAAGTATAAGATCATATTTCTAGCATTTGTGGTTGATGAGTTGTAGTCATTTAAAGGTAACCAATCACACTTGCGTTTCTTTTGGTAGCCACTGTATAAGTTATTTTACTAAGGATTTTCTCTGAAACAATATCTCAAAAGTTATGGATTAATCTCAAACAATTTTGACTTAAATTTGAAGAAAATTTGTAGGTTATTATTAAGAGAAATTTAGAATACCAAATGTCAAAAAAATCTCACTAAGAATGAAAAGAAATTCTGACGACATTTTAACGAATTTTACAAGTTTGATAAAATGATGTTGCAAGCTCATTATTAAAAATAATAGAGAATAAATTTCCTATTAAATTTTATTATTATAATAAGCTTATTTTATTTTTAAATAAAAAATTTCATATTGTATATATTGTTAATACGAAATAATTACCATTTTTTAATTTTGTTTTTTTTATAATACACTATATATTATTCTAACTAAATGGTAAATAAAAATTTATTTAATTAAATAATTTAAATATATTATTTTAACTAAATGATAAATAGAAAATTATTTAATTAAAATAAAATCATTTAAAATTTCTATTTGAAATACCAATTGCATTTCAAATATTTGAAAGTTTTTTAAAAATAATTTCAAATGAATATCAAAATAATTTTTGATATCAAAAGTCATTTTAGATTATTGAATTAATTTCAAATATTAAAAATTAATTTATATACTAAATCATTTCAGATATCTGATATTATATATATTTTTTTCATATTTTTTTCTTTGTTTTTTAGATTTTTCAATTAGGTAAGCTTTAATTTTATTTTTTATATCTTTTTTATTTTTTTTTTATTTTAACCTGTAAGGTTAAATTATCAGCTTCTTGTTCGATAATTAGTTAAGTCTCAGTAATTTTTTGAAAATCATAATTTTTATTAATCTCTTTCTAACTTTATTTATATTTATTTATTTATCAAATCTGGTATTTAATATAATGTAATTAATTATATAAAATTTAATATTAAATTTATTTAATAAAATTTAATTTATTGATTAAAATTATAACATACTTATATTACAAAGATCTTATTAAAAATTCTTTTTGATTTATATTTAAACTTTATTTATATATTATTAATAATATAATATTATAAAAAATCTTTTTATTGATTATTAAAAAAATAATATATTATATTTTTTTTAACAATTTTTATAATTTTATATTTTAAAAATATAAGCAGTTTTTTTTATTTTAAAAAACTTTTAATACAATAAATCTAATATAAATTAGTATATTATTTTAAATTTATAAAATAAATCATACCATCAAAGATTATTCTAATTATTTTTATAGGTTAAAAAAAAAATGATATGATAAAACTTTAAATTAACTTGAGTTAAATAATTCCTGAAATTGTATTTGTAAAGAGTATATTTATATTTAACTTGTAAACATTTTTGTGATAGATAAAATTACGAGCAAATCATGTGACTTATTACCCCGACCGAAATTATGTCGTCGGATTACAGGTGACCAAATCATGTGTCCAATTTGATCAAAATTGCACGAATCGAAGCAAGGATGAGCACGTGCATTGCATGTTTGTTTTTTTTTTTTTTTTATTTAATAGTCAGGCTAAACTATATATAACAGGTATGATGCCATCAAACTAATAATTTGTAAATCATTCTGAAATCAAGGAATAGAATGAATTTTTGGGAAGAACCAATGAACGATATTTTAAAGCACACTTGAACAAAGGAAAGGTTCCTACACCACGAGATAACAAGAGATTTTTTTTTTTTGTAAAAAAAAAAAATCGTATCGAAAGCATGTTACATAAAATAAGATGGTGTGACAGATTTTCGCATGTAAAAATGAAGACGTATATAAAATTTAACAATCACCGAGCGGTAGTAATATCCCAACCTATACGCGAAGTTTACACGATATGGCGTACCTTCCCCTGCCCAAAATACAGCTGATTATTACGTGACAAATTTAAAAGAACTTCATTGCTTCATTATTATATCATGAAACATTTCTATGAAGAAATTTAATGATAACGCAAAGATCCTTTTTTCCTTAATTATTTTGATTTTCTTGTGCAAAGTAACACCATGATTATTACCGATGTCGTAAAGAAAACTTTAACCCTGATTTTGTATTGGTAACAAAGATAATTGATTCTCTCTAAATTTGGTAAGAACGAAAATTTTTAATTCAATCAAATCTAACTTTGAATAGAAATCTGTTGACACAGGTCCACGATTATGTAATAGGAAGGTAAATCCTTACAACTTTTTCATATCAATAAGATTAATCGAAAATTTTCCCATTAATTTATTTAAGGAATAACAATGTATGTAAATTACTGTGCGAGAAAGAATTTATCATTTGATTGACCTTGTTTCGGATACAAAAGATAAATCCGTAGTTCAAATCTTAAAAAACACGTGAAAATTTAGTTAATCGTAGGGAATATCCATATAAGATCGCAAGTGTAACCTTTTCAGGACCTTAAAGTCTATGCCCATAAGAATTTTTCGAGCAATTTTGACCAGAAAGTGACGATTTCTGATCTTGATTATAGAAGATGTGTGCATTAAGCGGGACCCGAGTCAATCAAATATAAATATTTGGAAATACAACCATTTATTTGATTTGTGCAAACTTGTGTATTTATTTATAAATTAAATTATTTGATGATTTAATTTATTACTTTGAAATCTTAAAATACATTAATCATAACGAAAGATATCTCTCTAATTTACTCTACTCCTAGCAAACATCTTAAAATTTATATTTCTAAATTTTTTTTTTAAGTGAAACTTAATTTTTTTTTTGTCTAATAATTACAATTCAATTAAGAAAGTAAAGTATTATTTTCATATGTAATGTGATGTGATGTAATGTAATTTTTTTTTTTTTTAGCATATAATTTTTCAAAAAATTATTACAAGAAGTGGAGGGCCAGCACCACTTTCTTGTCGGCGTATGGATACTTTTTTTTTGTCTTTTTTTTTTCCTTTTAATTTCTAACCGTGTTACATATATGATACATATTATTAAAGGGAATTTTTGTTATTTTGGGCAAGAAATATTTACAAACTATAAAGAAATGAATAGGGAGGAGAGAAAATGTTCAATTTAATTAGATTAATTAAATCTTCATAATGTATGATAATCGTTCCAGTTTAATTCTTTCAAGTTCGGCCTGAACTTTTTCGGGTGATACAGGTTTACCAATGTATCCATTCTAAATAAAGAGAAAGAAAACGAATTAAAAATAAATTTTTTTTTTTTAAATAAAAATAAAATAAAATCAAAATCACTTTTACTTACCATGCCAGCTTGGTTAAAACTTTCTTCCCATTGATTTGTGGTATAAGCGATAATTGGTATATTTCTATTTTCTTCCAAAACAATTGTAGTATTACGAATTTTAATACAAGTTTCAATGCCATTTAGCAAAGGCATATCAATATCCATGAAAATAAGATCAAAATTCTCATTGGATAATTTTTGTAAAGCATCATTACCACTTATAACGCACGTCACTTCATGATTAAATTCCTTTTCCAAAATTTTTGTGAGGATTTTTCCGGTTAATATGTTATCATCTACAACTAAAGATTTTATCACTGATGACGAAAGAGAAAGGGGACTTGGGTTTGGCATGGAACTAGTAACGGCAGTTGATACATTTAAAGTTGTGGCTGTCATTTGGGAAGAGTCGATAGAAGTAATTTTCATATATTTAATTATTTATCAAGTAAAGTAAGAAAATTTTTATTTTATTCAAAAATAGAATCGTATTCTAAAATTTTTTTCGCTCGTTTGTCATTATTTTTACAGCAAAAAGTCTTTTTAGATAACTTTTTTGGTGTGAATTATTTTTGAGAAACAAAAACAAACGAGCCCTTTTATAATTTTTTATTCGATAGTTGTTTTTCAAATCAACGTTAGCTCAATTTCCTTTTTGGTAAGATTGCTATACATTTAAAATGTCTTTTAAAATTCAAATGTGTCATATAAATTATGTAAAATTCCGATATCACATACAATGATGTATTTGTAAACTGTTGAGTAATAAAAAAAAAAAGAAATCAGGCAATTTAAAAAATTTTTTTTTTATTTATACTATTGTGGCATATTAAGTGGCTAATCACCGGAGTAAATTGATTATGGCATTCATTTTCAATTATCCAAACACTTTTAGATCTAATGTTTACGTCTTTTCCGGTTGATCTACAAACATTTAAGAGCAATCACGTAATGCCATGTTTAAAAATAGAAACACTTTCGCTCATACAAAAAAAGATCTCTTCAGCTTGATAGTTCGAATCGAATATTATAGGATCGGATCGAACAAGCATTATAATTCATCGATTTAAGATTATAACAGATAATTTAATCCCTAACACCTTTAATGAAAGTCACAACGATTATCACCCATCATTGTCTTTTTAGCATACAATGCAAAGGATTTTCATGCAATGGATTAAATTAATATGTTTCGTGCATAAATCCAATTTCATTGAAGACAAATTTCAAAAAAAAAATTATTTTCAAGTTACTTCAGTGAAAAGGTAGGGTGAAATTCAAATGGAATTTCAAAATATGGGTGAATGCTGGGAAAAGAGACCAAATTGTTTAAAAAAAAAAAAAAAAAAAAAAAAATTTTTTTTTTTTTTTAAAAAAGGAGATCAAAGTTACAGCTAATTTGAAACGATTCAAATATCGTTGACAACGACTCGTAGTTTTATTTTTTATTTTTTATTTTATATTTTTTTTCAGTCCAAAGGTAAAGATCCTTTCGGAGGAATCTAGCTTTTACGATATTGAATATATTTTTCAGAAATTCAAGTATCAAAATTTACTTTTAACTTGGAATGTTAACTTAAAAAAGAAATAAAATTCTTTCTTTTTAAATAAGATTTAATTAATCTTTATTTAGACATACTGTGAAATTGAATTCCTTGTTTAGAATTTATTTGTTTAAAAGATTTTATTTACTATTCTTTTTTAGAGCAACTAATAATAAATTCGAATCATCCCTTTTACAAACAAAAAAAAAAAAAAAAAAAATTTAAATGTACTACTGCATTGATAAAAAGCATTAGTGTACAAGGTAATATTCGTTTGTTGAATTTAAGTTTTGATGAATCGGAAAATTTTTTAATTAGATTATTCTAGGTGTTTAAAGAAAAAGTAAGAAACAGAACTTCATGTTGCAGCCAACCTATTTCAGGGAAAACAAACAAAAACCTCATGGAAACCGAGCATTTTTTTCTCTTCAACTTTCTTAAAAAGACTAGGAATGAGGCTTAAAAAAAAAAAAAAAATTCACGAGTAGCAAAAATTATCTTGAATCAATCATCGAGAAAGTATTTAATATTTCACCCGATCCTTACTAGTGAGATATGAAAATGGGATTTGTTTGGACGATCTTATAAATCTGATATGACGTTTTTTAATACCGGGTCCCTTAATATTTAGTGCGTTCACCTCGTTTTGTGACATCTCATTGGATGAGAAAATGTCGCACGCTGTACGTCATATTTGTAAATGAAGACCCAAGAAAAGTCCCCGAGTAAATGCGGTCCCGAACCTAATCTCTGAATCAGTCCCGAGTCATAATAGAGAACATTCTTTCACATATCAGCCTCAAGGCCCCAGAACCTTTTCACACGTTGTCATTATGTCACAACTTTTGGGTAAAAATTGTCCGAATAAATGAGATACCCTGTGTTTTTTTTACCTTGCATGACAAAATGTCTCAAATACTTATTTTGAATATAACACCAACAAATCAAAAATCCTGGAAAATCTTATCACTTTATTTGGTATATCTACCTAGAATATCGAACAATGTCAAAAAGGCTTATGAATTTACTGCGTACTTTAGCACTTAAAAAAATTTTGTTCTAGATACCTCTAGATTATTATGAACCTTCTAGTTGAGGTAATAATTGGGTAATAATTGGGTAATATTGACTTTCGACGTAAACCCGTGTAAATTATCTTCGCCTCACATTGGTAATAGAAAGTAAAAAAAAAAAAATAAAATAAAATAAAAAAAAATAAAAATAGACAATGCGGGGAATGAGAGCGTCGCACAATGAAACAAACGGTAAAGACCATTCATTTCTAATCTTCCAAGAGTACAAGTATTCTTTTTATTTAAAAACACTTTCAAACTAATGGTGGCTTGATCTTCAAAAAAAATTACAAAACGTCATCGATTTCCATTTAAGTTTACCTAAATTTTTTAAAGTGGCGCATCTTTTATCTTTTTATTTATAGATCAATGTTTACTATTTTTATTTGCAACAATCTTTTTTAAACTCGATCATCGTCAAGCTCACGAATTCAAAATTGAGGTGTTTCAAACAATGGTCAATTTTGGTCATTTAGTTATTTGTTTGTTTATTCCCCATCTGAAGATAGATATAAAGATAAATATATCTTTTTTTTTAAAAAAAAAAAAAAAAAAGGTTCCCGAATTTGGAATTTCGTAATTAACTCAAATGTTACATCTGTATTCCTTTACTCAGGAGGAACTAAAAAAAGTATTGTGGCGATGCTAGCATATTATCAACTTAAATGGACATCAGTTACCTTTTTTTTCTCGTGATCTTATCGATTAAAGTTGAAAAATACCTAATCAAGTAAGTTACAAAAAAAGAAAAAGAAAATAAATATTTGGAACACGTGAAAATATGTAAAATATTTTTGGATTTTTTTTTTGTTTAAATCTAAGATCCTCAATCATTATTAACAAATTTGGTGATGTTCCGACTTAAAGGTTCAAGTAAGAACAATTAGTTGATAATCCTTTTTTCAAGTACCTTTTAATTCATGTAGATCTCAAATCATTCTTTGATTTATTAAATCATTCTAATGAAATAAATAATAAACATTTCAAAAAAAAATAAATAATAATAATAATTCAGCCTAGCGTTTTCATAAAATACGATTTTATCAACATGTCAAGAGTTCCCCAATTACCTACCTTGGTAATATATTCGTCTATTTGAAATCCATTATAATATTCACCTCACTTACATATGAACCAATTCAAACAAAGAAACGAATTTACTTTTGTTTCATTCGATTCCATTGAGTTTTCGTGGAGGAATTCATGATTGATTATAAGTTATGCGGTCTAATGTTCTTATTATTAAAATGTAATAGGGCATACTTGAATCAAGACAAAAGATTTAATAATGGGTTTAATGCTTATTTTGTTATTCCTTCAAAAAGGGAATTCCAATTGTTCACAAAAAGAATTCCTGCCATCACAATACTTCACGTAACAGGAACAATTGATTATTTCTTTTGCCTAAATTTCCTTGTATTTATTTACCTGTTACGTTCATGGTCTCACTATTATCCGCTACGATCTTCCGCTACTCCTCATCCAAAGGAAAATAGTCGTATTCCTATTGAGCTTTCTCACTCCTTCCGAACAAGTTTCCTTGAAAAGAATTGATCATCACACTCTCGGGATTTGGTTTCAACCCAATCTCCTTGGAAGGAAACTATCATCTTAAAAATTGTTCGTAGTGAAACTCTCCACTCACGTGAAATCGCAAAACCAATAAAAATTATTTTTGATTTTGCTCGGGAACTCCTTGAATTTTTTTTTAGAAATATTGAGCCAGCGAAGATCAATTATTTTTTTGTGAAATATTAAAAAAAAAAAAAAAAAAAAAAAAAAGAATTAATAAAAAGAACTCCTCCGCGGATCCTAAGTCATGAATTTTGGGTACAACACAGTATATATTTTAGCGCAAGTTAAAAATGATTTGATTTTATTTCTATATCTGAAATGACCGTAATGTTGGAGAAATATCAAAGCTCACAAGATTATCATTAATTGTCAACATGACATAAGACATCACTATATAATGGTCTTTTATAGGGCTATTATCGTTCTTCAATCGAGCTGACTCAGCAAGCCGTCATAATGTCATATTGTCTTCGTAGGTCATGAGATCATATAGGACCTTTGCAATGAAAGGCCGGGAAAAAATAAAAAAATGAGCCAATGATAAATCTGAACATATTTCGACCTGAAAATCATGTATAGAACAAAAAGTAAAATTGATTTTTTCAGCAGATTTATGCACTGTCTCTCATGTGAATTATTATTAGCATTAAAACTTTGGAAAGTTCAAGATTGAACGATTTTGATGTTTTTTTGTGTGATACAATATGAAGGGATTAAGTAAGAGCTAAAGGAATGATTTAAATTCTTCCTTTTGGTCCTACTTAAGAACAACATAAGTTAAGCCATTGAAATAATGAGTTAATAATGCACAAAATCGTTTACTTATTTGAAAACAGTTCTGAATGAATAATAATAATAGAGGCAAGTATTTTGGCGAAATGTCGGTGAAAATGAATGCGAGAGTGGAAAATCTTGCAGCCAAAGCTAATCTTGCAAACGTCAAGTCAATATGTTACACTAAATTTTTGTTGCGGAATAAATATTATGACCTCTTTATTAATTCCGTATTTTTTTTTTTTTTTTTTTTGCCATCGTTCAAAACAATAGTTAATAATCAGAGAATTTTCTTTATATGACAAAGGTAATAATAAATGTAATATGTGTAATATAGGTTTCAATTTCTTGCGGAAGGATTCAAAATAAGCTAAGTTAAAAGTTCAAACTCGCATGTGCCTTTTTGAATTCGAAGACAAGAAAGATAGCAAAG